GGCAACGCACCAACCCAGCACCTGGAGCCTTTGTCCCCATTATTACCGTTGCAGACTTTCCCAGGCACCTGCAGCTGGGCCTCGGGAGCACCTGGGCCTGGCCGGGGCTCCCACGAGATCTGGTTCTCCTGCTACAGGGAGTGGCCCGACGCGTGACCTCGAGGGAGGTCTCGTGGTATTATAACAACAACAACAGCAGCAGCATCCACCTCTGGCGCTCTTACTACACACAGGTGCCATTTCACTTAATCTTCACACCCGGCCCATGACGCAAGAACTATGATCACCCCCATTTTACAGATTAGGAAATGGAGACATGAGGAGGGATAGGGACCTGTGCAAGGTCACATGGTATAAGGAAGTAAAAAAACAATATGAGGCCCGGCCAGCGTGGCTCAGCAGTTGAGTGTCGACCTATGAACCAGGAGGTCTCGGTTGGATTCCCTGTCAGGGCACAGGCCTGGGTTGCAGGCTCCTCGATCCCCAGCAGGGGGCGAGCAGGAGGCAGCCGATCCATGACTCATCATTGATGTTTCTCTCTCTCTCCCTCTCCCTTCAAAAAAAATAAATAAATTAAAAAACAACCTAAAGAACCCCACCCTTTTTCTATAAATCAACCAATATTTATCAAGTTCTTGTTTTTGCAGAAGTGTTCTGGGCATGTATGGCCCATGTCCCCCCCTATCAGGAAATAAACATGAAAACATAAGCCCTACACTTGTTGTAGGGAAACCTCAGGATGGTGGACCCAGCTCTTCCCAGCGGCCGTGCCTGTTTCTCCCATCCACATTTTGGGGATCAATTGCTCCTACTCCAGGGGCTGCTAATCACCCTACGTCACTGCCCTTGGCCACAGTGGTGGGTCCAAGGGAACAGCGTGTAACCCAGAAAAGCCAAGCCCGTCGGGGCTTCCGCCAGGATGTAAACATGGGAGCGGGAGAGGAGAAGCCCTGTACCTCTTGGATTGCTGAGCCAGAAGGATGTGACTCTGGACCAGCCGACAGACACTTTCTGGGTGGAGAAAGCTTGTTTGCAGAAGCAGGGGAGGAAGACACGCTGAGTGGGGAGAGAGAAGCCACCAGGAGTCCCAGATTCCTGTGGGCCCCAAGGCAGGCTCGGCCTTTGGCCTTCCTGCCCATCCCCCGGCGGTGTGGTTCAATGAGCCAGGACATTCCTTTCTGTCCCTTGCCTCACCCATCCATCAAGCATCGGTCCAATGGCCGTAAACACAGCAGTGCAGTAGGAGAGATGTCACGGGCAAGACCTGAAGGTTTGCCAAGTGAAAGTTTTAAGCAATCGGACACAGACCAGAACACCTACTCCCTTCACGTCAACGAATATTTGTTCAGCCCTTACCTGGGTTATGTGCTTAGGACATGACAGCGACAGAGACAGGGGAGGTCCCTTTCCTCGCTCGGGAGCATCGCCCTAGGATCCTGGAGATCACCTTTGGATTCCTGGTCAGGGCACAGGCCCGGGCTGTGGGCTCGATCCCCAGCAGGGGGCGTGCGGGAGGCGGCCGATCCATGACTCTCATCATTGATGTTTCTCTCTCTCTCCCTCTCTCCATATCCCTCTCTGAAATAAAAATAATCATCATAATAAAAGAGAATGGATTTAACATCTCTTGTTTTTTTTTTTAAAAAAAGAAGACTGTAGTGTCCCTGAAAGCACAGACAATGTCTTGTATCTCCTTAGTGCCTGGCTGGCTACAGTGGGCCCTCAATAAGTGTTCATTGCATGTGTGAGCGAGTGAATGAATTAGGGAACGAAGGAGGTAAAGTACAAGTCATCTGGGGGGACGGCAGGTCACCCAGCTGGGCTGCAGAGGAGCTACTTTTAGAGAAGGTACCGCTGAGGAAGGCAGATGGAAGCCAGGCCGCAGAGGCCCTCGCTGAGAAATGTGCACTTTGCATGGGCCACATCACACAACCCCAGGGCGGGGCCGGGCCGGCCAGGCGGCAGAGTGGCTCCCGTGGCCCCTTGTGTGGCCCCCCATCTGTGTTGTGGTCGCCACACCCAGCCAGGCTCCACCCAGCGCCACAGCACCCAAGGTCATGCCCCAGTCACCGCCACCCTCCTGGCTCCTGGGCGAAGCTGCCAGCACAGCACTTCTGCCCAGGCTGTAATTTCAATATGATCTCCTCCCCAGCCTGACCACTCGTGGCCTTTGCACCCCGGACACACACCCGCTGCGGGAGTTGCGTGAGGGGGAGAAGAGGTCTGGTGTCCACCCCAAACCCTGACCCCTGCTCCTGGGCTCCAGAGAGGGGGTTGAAGTCTGCAAGGCTCAGGCTGGGCCCAGCTGGGGCCGCCGGACTTGGCTCCTTAGCCTGGGACTAGGTAGACGGCGCCCCCTTGTGGCCAGGAGCCACCCTGCACCCTGATCTTCCTGGAGACTCGCACCTTTCCTTTAGTTTTTAATTTAATTTTTAAAAGAAAATACCTTTCTGAAAAGCCAAGCCCACACATACATCATTTACCTTGCACACACTGCTCTTTCCAGGAACCTCACAGTAAAGACTTTTGGGGAAAAGCTGTTTTGGATTTTCCCAAAGCCTGAGCAGATGTTTCTGACTCTTAATCTCTATGAACACTCACGGGCTGAGGCAGAAAGGTGAGATAGATGTCTGAAAACGGTTGTTTTAGTTACTCCCCGGCTCCACAAAGGGTCTCCTCAGGTCAGTGTGTTCTAGGGGGTTATGCAACAGGCCTCTCCCTCTGCTTTGTAATTCTAACAGCTCCATCGGGGGCAGAGAGATGCCTCATCTGCTAAATGAAACGCGCAAGCCGAAGGCTCCTCTGCACACGTTCCTCCGCTTTGAAAACCCAGCTCTTTCTTTGCCTCTATAGTGTTTGTTTACAGCTCTGCGTGCCGGTGATGTTAAGCTGTTTACAAGGATTTTTGTGTGTTTCGTAATGCCCGGTTCAGATTTTCCTCCTTGCTGTTGGTGCCGGTGGTGTGTGCGGGGGCAGCAGGGAGATTGATTCCACAACAACACAAGACAGATTCTGATCTCAGGCGCCCAGATCCACCTTAGACACAACACCCACACATGATGCAATCCGCAAACCACCACAAATCAGCGGCCAAGTGTAAACTAAGCATGCACGTGCCGAGAGAGCAAGCTTGGGGTGGGGGTGGAAGGCTCGCGGCAGGATAATCCCTGGAAATAGAGTTTGAGAGGAGTCTGGGAGGATGCCAGACTCACAGACCGAGGCCTTCTGGGGGCTGGAGCGATGTCCAGGAGGGGGGTCAGCATCTATGCGTCTTTGGAGATACAACCATTATCTCCCCCACCTGGACTTCCTCTGAGAGTTGTAACCTTGCCAAAGGCCCCACACGCTTTCCACCTTCCTTCTGCCCACCACTGGGCTGCCAAGTGATCAAACACGAACCGTTTAATCAAACACTACCTGGGAGCCCAGCCGACAAGGTTCAGCGGTTGAACATTGACCTAAAATCCAGGAGATCTCGGTTCGATTCCCGGTCAGGGCACAGGCCTGGGTTGTGGGCTCCTCGATCCCCAGCAGGGGGCGTGCAGGAGGCAGCCGATCCATGACTCTCATCATGGTTGTTTCTCTCTCTCTCTCCCTCTCCCTTCCTCTCTCTGAAATCAATAAAAACACATTATATATAAGAAAAAGAGCAAGCAGCCTTCTTACCAGCCCAGTTCTGCATTTGGACTCCACCAGGACTTTGACCCCCCCAGATGCAGCCCCCTCTCTCGACCACCAGGATTGAATGCCACCCTGGGCACGTGCCCACCAGTTTTCAGAATGGGCTCACGGCCAGTTCTCTGGGAGAGATTTGGCCCTTAGGGATGACCTCAGCGTTTGGACATGGACCTGTTTGGAGTTGGCTCCTCACGGAATGGCTCAGGTAGACGCTGAGGTCTGGCTCCTGATTGACGGGTCTACGCTCAACCACTGAGCCATGCTGGCTGGCCCAGCTGATGCACAGTATTATATTAGGTGTACAACCACGTGGTTAGACGTATATATAACTTACAAAGTGATCACCCCAATAAATCTAGTACCCATCTGACACCATCTATAGTTATTACAATATTATTGACTATATTCCCTAGGCCGTACTTTACATCCCTGTGGCTATTTTTGTTTCCTTTTTAAAAAAGATACAGATTTTTTTTAAAAAAAATGTTTTTATTGATTTCAGAGAGAGGAAGGGAGAGGGAGAGAGATAGAAACATGAATGATGAGAGTCATGGATCAGCTGCTTCCTGCACGCCCCCTGCTGGGGATCGAGGAGCCTGCACCCCAGGCATGTGTCCTGACCTGGAATCGAACCAGAGACCTCCTGGTTCATGGGTTGACCCTCGACCACTGAGTCACCCCGGCCCGGCTGTTTCCTTTTTAAAAAATAAAATAAGATGTAGCTGGCAGACCATTTATCATCGCACCCGTGGCCTGCATTGTGTCGCAATAGGTGGATCAGATAGTGCCAGCTTAGAGCAACGCCTGGTGTGGAGCGAGAGCAACTGTGGCCACTATCAGTGTTTAGAGCCTGGCCCAGCGTAAGCGCTTATCAAGTGGCGGTTTTTGTTCCGGAGGCTTCTCACCCCGCCCTCTGTGCCCCTGATTTCAGAGATCTGTCCCTGGAACACGGTGTCTCGTTTCCCAGCCCAGCTTGTCCTAGCCACCCACCCACGGGAAGGGCTTTTGATCTTTCCTTTCATCTTCCCACCCCCCGGACCTCTCCAGGGGCGTCTAAACACACAC